CTCCCGTTGTCTATGCTCATCTCCCGTTGTCTATGCTCATCTCCCGTTGTCTATGCTCTTCTCTCGTTGTCTATGCTCACCTCCCGTTGTCTATGCTCATCTCCCGTTTTCTATGCTCACCTCCCGTTGTCTATGCTCTTCTCCCGTTGTCTATGCTCATCTCCCGTTGTCTATGCTCATCTCCCGTTGTCTATGCTCACCTTTAGTTTTCTTTGCTCATCTCCCGTTGTCTTTGCTCACACCCCGTTGTCTTTGCTCACCTCCCGTTGTCTTTTCATACCACTTATTGTCTGTGCTCACCCTCCGTTGTCCATACTCACTTTCCGGCAGATATCATCCTCTTATCTTAGATATATTTTTTCTATATCAGGTTTCCTCCACTTCGCCTTGATATTTTCTTTCTGGCACATATCCTTCTCTTAGCCATGATAATTAGCTACGTGTACGATCTATGCTACTTATTTTTAATGTAAGAGTATGTAATAAAGTGTTGTAAATAATTTCTAAAATGTGTGAGATTTACATATAAAATGTTCATGTCCAATCATTTTGAATTTTAATTAATTTCTGTTTCAGAGCTGGGTGTATATTATTCTATGTTTGTACTCATAAATAAATTGTTTATACATGTGTAATTAATGTTTTTGTAATTTATTCTATATTTACATTCATAAACAAAAACAAAATCCAGTCAAGTACTAGTCTTGTCCTTACTCATTAATGCTATGGCGTATTTTGCAAATGATATTTTTATTCTGTAGCGAGTAGCGTTCCCTTAGCCATGATATCTTATAAGTATATTCTGTAGCGAGTAGCGTTCCCTTAGCAATGATATTTTTATTCTGTAGCGAGTAGCGTTCCCTTAGCCATGATATCTTATAAGTATATTCTGTAGCGAGTAGCGTTCCCTTAGCCATGATATTTCTTTTTGGCAGTTTGCTCCCTTACCCATGATATTTCTTTGTGGCAGTTTGCTCCCTTACCCATGATATTTCTTTGTGGCAGTTTGCTCCCTTAGCCATGATATTATCTTTGTGACCGATATCTTCTCTTAGACATATTTTTTCTGTGGATATATCCATCCATTAGCCACATCTTACTCAATTGCAGGTATTCGTGACATCTTTCTCTAAGCAGATACATTTGTATCAATGCTTTCCTTCCTGTAAAGTCAAATAAGTAAGATACAACTTGATTCATAATTGCTTTGCTGAAATTTAAAGGCATAGACTATGAAACACTTTCTCAGTTTAGATAAGATTTTAATAATAGCACAGGATATACAAAAAACATAATTAACAATTTATTTGCCAAACATTGCACAGGTGTATAATTGCAAAAAAGAATTAATTATAGATTATTAAAAAAAGTATAACTAAAAATTCTGCGAATGTTTAAGTACTGTAGCAAACTGAAATGATATTTTGCATTTAAAAAAATCCTCAAGAAACTATTCCATCAATGATCAGCCTCCTGGTGTCCCAGTCCTAATATACAGAGAATAAAACAGTAAGCCAGATTAAAAATTCTCAATTATGTAGCTCATTTATCCCTACTCAGATAATTCAGAATACTCGCTTCCAAAAAGGTTTATTATTCAAAACTTTTAAACCAGAAATGATTGTAGTAATAGAATTCAGTGGCTGGTTTCAGATCAATTTCTATTTCATTTTTAATCAGAAAATATTTTGTTCCATGAGCAACCAGCTGTTTTTACGCAAACACATCTAAAGTAGTGTCTTAAATATAAACGAGGGTGGCGGGGGCGGGGACGGTGGCGGGGGTAATATGGGGTTGGGGGAGTGAGGGCAGAAAGTCTCAAATTAACAAGATTACACTGATCATTGATGGAACAAAGTAGTCCACAAACAAACGTGATAATGTATCTAAAAATCAATAATACGTGATTATTTTAAAAAACCCAATCTATGCTACAAATCATATATAAAATTATCCCTTCAAAATAAGGCAAAAAAGTAAAATTAGCAAAATAGAATATAAAATCAAATTAAAAGCATCAAAACATTATTGCAAAAAATTAACGAACGATGATTAAAGCTGGTTAAGAATAGTTTATACAGTGACATATTGCAGATCATTATTATCCCCTACAGTGATACAAGACTAAAAACATAGAAGGCAGTATGTATTACATTATAAAGTAGTTTCTCTATTACAATATAATTTTCAAGAATAAAGTATCATATATATAATGTATAAACATTGTATTACCAACTTCCAGTTAAAGTTTTGTAATGTATTTGAGAGATATTGAAAATTTGCAAAAAATTTTTCTAGATGCGAAGTAAGTTTTGAAACCTTCTTTTGCTTACTGTTGAAAACGTCTGTTTCCTTTGTCAAGCAAAGCATGCAAAAAAACTTGGCAATTATTATGCATACCAAACTTGATGTATTTTTTTGTGTTTTTTTTTTTGTATGTTTATGACGTTGGTTTTGAATCCCAATTACATGTACATACAATTTTAGTTTTTAATTAGTTTTAAACTATTGAGCTCATCATATATTAAACAACTGGCAAGTTTAAGTCAAGCTAAGCATGGTGTCGAAAAATTAATGGTAGGAGTACATGATTAATTTTGACTGTCCATGAGAAATATTGACAAGAGTAATGGCATTAAGCACCGCTCAAGAAAGACCTCAAATGTTATATTTTATCAAATATCTTCGCTAAGCTGAAAAAGTGTGGTCTATTAGCGACAACCAAGTGTTTACTGATGTGCCTTAGAAAGTTAAAACTGATAAAATTGCTGCTGAAAAGCAGTGAATTTTGCCTCTGTTTAAATTTGTTCACTTTTGAAAATAGGGTGAATATCACAGTAGGCAAATAGTATGATAACAGCATGCATTTTAACTCATTCACCCCTGAAGACACATGTGAACTCTTCTAATTCAAGGGTTGGAAGAGCTCACCATGAAATTTCAGGGATGAATGAGTTGAAACAAAGGGAGGTTGAAATCACCAGTGGGAAAAATTATTTTCAATTAAAAGAGGACTAAATTTTCATAGGGTGAACTAATACTGATGAGAGTGATTGACCATTGTATAATTATGCTCTACATTCATTATATTGTCAAAACCCAATATAATGTCCCTCCTTATTTTGCCATCTCACTCTTTTCATTCTTTCTTTTGTTATTCTGGGTCCTTTTTTTTAACAAAACAATTATCTCCTTTGTCATACTGTCAAACCCCTTTAAAATGCCAACACTTTGAGGGCAGTATAAAGAGGTTTTAATAGACGATAGACTCAGTGGGGTTATCATGTTTCGGCCCGGAAGACATATAACACTGTATATCTTTAGGTAAACAATATAAGGATAAAACTTATACAAATAATGATTTGGCATACTAGACACTCAATACAGATCTATCTGACATTCAGGAGAAAGTGTAGGCAAAAGTTCAAAATGTTTTCTTTTAATTTCAGAGACACAAAATAATGTGCTTCACAATTAACCCTTAAGTAAGAGAGACAACGTGTATGGTATACTTATATTTACTGAGACAACTTGGAGAGATGTACTAAGGGAGACAACTGAGACAGATATTATGGGATTACAGTAGAGAGGAATAAAGGGGAACAACTCTGATGACATCTTAAAGAAAATCATTGGTCCAACATTTCTCAAAGTTCAAACTGTTTTCATAGTTATGTCAATCTTATCGTATTGGTCCAAGGAAACTTTTCTCATCAAAGCATTTTAATCAATCAAATGACTTACTCTTCATTTCTTTTAATATTAATGTTCTCAAAAAAAAATTCATAATGCACAAATTGAAAATCATTATTGCAATCAATATACCAGAAGAACATGATGATTAAAAGTGGATAAACGAACAAAAAGTAACAATCCTTGTCTTCACATAGAAGAGTTACACAGATCTTTCAAACACCCAAATCAGAAAATTGCAAACTTTGATCGATGTTTACGCCCTTGCAAATTTCCATTCCTCTAAACATTTGAAAAAACTGCAGAAAGAGTTGAATTTATCCTCTCATCATGGTTTTTAAACTACAAAGTCATATATCCATCTTTTATTAAGTTTCATATTGTTTTAAATTAATTTGACAGGTCAAGGGGGAAAGTGTCAAAAATACAGCAAGGGCAAAAATATTCCTGTTTACAGTATTAAAAGCACCCCTTAAAAAAATTATTATATTACAGTATACCCAGTAATGTAAAAATTGCATCTGCTGCAAATTAGGAAAATAGTTTGTTAATTTAATAACGCGAATGAAAAATATTTGTAAATATTTCATGTTAAGCATTAATACAGCAGCAGCATGTATCAAATAATTAAAACTTTCAATATTTGGCGCAAAAAATATTATTGTAATTGGCAATGAATTGTAAAAACAATTTTAAGCAGACATGTGAATATTTACGATTTAAAACACCACAGACAAACAGATTGATCAACATTGACTAACATGTAGCTTTACAAATCTATACCTACATGTACTTCTAGCCTCCACATATACATACATGCACATTGCCTTCAAATGTCTATTTTTACCTATACTTAGCCTTATATATACCGGATCTATATATAGACTTCAAATACCTATATATATATAGTATAATATACCTATACATAGCCTTCAAATATCTATTTAAACATTTACATAGCCTCAAATATCTAAACGTGGCCTCCAAATCTATAAAATTACCTAGCTAGCTACCCTTTCTCTGTCATCTACATTTTGTATATTGCAAGGTAACAGTGGGTGTAGATTCAAACAACTATACGTATTACAGGTAATTTTTCATTCACAGAACTGACTCAAGTCTTCATTACGTGAGAATTTTAAATTGTAGTAAAAATGGCACAAATATTGAGCAATGGAAAACTGTAACTGACAAATATATTGGAACATTTGGAAATTCTGGCATAAGTGTTCAACGATTATTTCTCGACTCCAAAGTTACGTTTTACAAGAAAGTACCTCCCATTATCATTTAATTGGTATTTATTCTGGGAAAGTTATGGTTTGTAACTGTGAAATTAATCACTTTATTCTCTTATGTACTTTAATCTGAGAATTAGGTCTTCATGTTTTATTTACAAAAACTTCAATTAAATTTAACAAATGATAACAAGTATTGATGAAATTCATATTTTTGAAAGATTGAAATATGCAAATGAGTCTCCTGGTGAATTAAAGCAGAGAAGTCTATCACTTGTGAAAATAAAGGGACTTATATTACTTCATATGGGTGTATTTCAAAGCCCAACAAATGTATATATCATAAATATTGCAAGATTTATTAATTTTGAGTGGATCAATGAAGATTTGTTTTCATTCTTCAACAATTATATTTAGCGCATGATCTTATATGTACATTTTTTTTATTTGAGTATAAATGTCTTAATAGAATTACCTCCCTTGTTGTATATAACTCCAAAGACACATTTTTTCTCTCAGAAAATCTTATATTATGCTCTGGAATCTGTATATCTGTATAAATGTTCCACAAAATGTTATGTATTTTGTAAAATTCTTGGTCATTATTTTTTAAATCATTAAAAACACAATTCATTAAGAAATCCGTAACAAATGCAGCAGTTTGAATTAGTTGTTCCCCCACAATCTGCTAAATAAATAATATACCCCTTATCCTACTTGTAAAGGCACCTACAAATAATCAAACAAACCAATTATGTACTCATATATAAAGTTTTCATATAGAAATTTTCATGTAGAATTTGCATTGATACTGAATTTCATCATAATTATAAAATTTTCATATGTCAAAAATTGAATATGTTATGGACTTTTAAAATGATCAACCTGATCTAACAACATAATACAACAATTTAATTTCCATTCAATCAGAGAGAAAACACTGATGTTCAAATTTAGTCTAATGTGTTATTTAGATAACGGACTGTATTGATGCATCCATATTTTGAATCTAAAATATCTTATTTTAATTCTTGAATTCAAACATACTATGTTATGTAAGACATACTATATGTCTGAGAATTCAACGTGATTGCCACCAGAGGAAAAACAAGCATCTTTTTTCATATCAGGTTTAAAAACAATTTACTGAAATGTTTTAAAATCACTCTTTCCTGAAGCTTTTTGTCATATTGATACAACTTTGTCCTCAGATAAATACCAAGCATCAGAAATGTTTAATAATGGGACTTTTAGACTACATGGTACAAAATTGATATTTTTTTTAAATCTTCCTATGTTGACTAGCAAAATTAATACACAATTAACATTTATATAAACACTGTTAAAGTAAGCTAGAGAATCGTGAACACAATTTCATTCCATGGCACAGAATCTCTCGGTAACCAAGGCGACGTATGCTTGGTTGTCAGATCATGAGCTGGCTTTGATGAACTTGTAAACCTTCTCATGGGCTCTCTTGCAGCATTCCTTGAAGTGACCTTGAAGGAAAATTAAATTCATGACAAAATCTCATTTCTCCAAATAATGTGTTAATTTATTTGCACTAGTGAATTTATTTCTTTATAACACAAGAATTACTTTAATCAGTTAATAACACTGACACATTTTGACCAGGACATTTTTATGCAAAAATCAGAAAATTACTTTCGTAATAACATCAAAATGTTATCAAATTCCTATAGGATTGAGTGAAAATATTCTTCTAGAATAATCAGCGAAATTGTATCTCTGCAACAATTTACACATGTGAATTCACCTATCACAAAAAAGGCGAAAATAACTCTGCCACAAAAATTACAAGTAGCCTTTATCATGTGCTATTACAAAGTTTTCTTATGATAAATTTGTGAAGACAGAATTAATGAAATTAATTTGAGTTGACAAGTATTTTATAAAATGACCGTGTACAAACTACATGACATGTACCTAGTGACTTCTTTCAGTAAACTTCAGTTTCGCCATTTTGAGTTACATTTTACCTAGATACAACATGTGTATTGGCTCACCTGGGAGATGGAAAAAACCATGAGTTACCCCTCTAACACAGTGCGTCTGAGACGGGATACCCGCTTTCTTCAATTTGTTATGGTATGCTTTAAACAATGAAACAATTTGATTAATTTTCATATCATGAAGCAGACACAATTAAAACAGGGGTCATCCAGACAAAAAAAATAAAAATAAAAGCTTTTAAAAACTTTCTCAAAAAATTCAATCTTGGATATTTTTTGTACCACTTTTTTTATTAACATATACGCTCAAGCAAATAAACTCTTACCAACGCCTGCATCTTTGAGAACATCAAATTCAGCAAGGATGATCAGTGCAGGTGGCAGGCAGTTGAACTTTTCATTTAGAAGAGGCGATGCTAGAACTGATTCCTTATCAGATTCGTCTATATAGTTTTCGGAAAACCTAAAAACACAGAAATATTTTGTAACTGAACTATATACTCTGTGTTCTAATATAGGGAAAGAAACGCCAGTACAATCATTATAATTATACATTTAGGGATGATGGTCATCTTGATATAAGTACATGCATTTCTATTGTATTTGGTGTACAAAAATAATACAAAAGAATCAACCAGTTTAAGGATCCCTGTACCACTGAACTTCACACTGCTTAACTACCTGGTTGGTTGGGTGGTGCAGTGGATAGCGCACTTGCCTTTAACCAAGGTGGCCGGGGTTCGATTCCCATATCGGACGTGAAAAGGTATGGGGTCACCTGCTCGATCACGTGGGTTTTCTTCGGGTACTCCGGTTTACTTCCACCATAATATAAGCCCCCCACGCGCTATCATCAGGGCCAACAAGAGTGATTAGTATAAGTTGTAAAAACTTGTTTCATAATTGTTAAAATTAACTCAAGTTTATATATACCTGGTATTGCTCTAGCCGACTGAGCTACCTGGTTGACGGAAGTGTCATGGCCCAATTGTTCTGCAGTTATAGCTAAACAGAAGTTCAGGGGAGATCACTGCATTTACGAAAAACCAGTGGAATGGGGCAGGGATCCTTAAAGTACATTAAATACTCAACTCCTCTAATTATCCTACACTTTGCAAAATAACAATCGTAGACTAACACCTCCCTGACATTTATTTACAACATGAGGCCAAATGGTCCTATGTCCCTCCCTTTGAAGCAAGTAACAGGTACGTTCTTCCTCCAAGGTATCTACTGCACTGGCCAAATATCAGAACTCTAAGGCCGTTTTTGTTTAAACGGTCAAACCGGTCGGACCACTGTTGTTCGTTTATTAAATGAGGTCGGACCTAGTAATCTGATGCTGCTTTCAGGCGAGCCTTGATAAAGCCTTGCAAGACCTGCATAAACATTTGCAGGTCCGCCATCATTTATACCAGAAATTGTTACATTTATAAACGGTCAAACCAGTTGTTCCGCATAAACGAACAGGCCCTAAGTCTTAATATAAAGCTATCCACCAATTAAAGCCCATGCATGTTGACATGTACAGTACAACCTTTGACGCAGGCCAGCACTCAAAGCTGACCTTTGACCTAAACACAATATGCTAGAAAAAGATTTTAACTGATGGTAAATATAACAATCATTGTTATCTTCTGACTAAATATCACTCTGAAAATTATATATATGGTAATATTTACAGCCTTCAATGAAATTCACTCAAAAACTATTATTATTAAAAACTAGAGTTATCATCTCATAACCAGACCAGTGAACATGACAAATAGCTACGACGTCAACACAGACTATGCTAATTTTCCTGAAATGAGACACAATCGTGTGACGTCATCAACAGTAGTTGTGGGCAGATTTAACCGATGCTTATACAAATTTCAGGCTAGAACAACAGGACAATACTCAACTATAGAACGACATAGAACTGACACCCAGGAATCTTAATTGTGACCTTGACCTACAACACCATTGACCTTGACCCACATACCATTGAGTCATCTCCTTTGACAGTCCAGGGAAGTTTTCGAATTCCTCTTGAGATGGGTACTTCTGTGTGTAGTCAACATTTGGGTAAATTAGAACCTGCAAAATAAAACAAGATTGTAAAGCTTCTTGACATGGAGAGGTAGTCTTCAGAACATGTCCATTAACTTCATGCATCCTCCATACTCAAGGGATTATGTTCACTTTCGCTCTCTGCACCCCTGGATAGCAAAATTGAAGGCTCAGTTTGCACCACCTTGAGGATGAGACTAGAAGACTAGTCTGATCGTTTGATGAACATCAAAAGGATCCCTTGATCACCTAACGGTAAAATTGACTGGCTTTGAAGTCGAGTGTTGCTCCTCTTGAAGGCTCAGTTTGCACCACCTTGAGGATGAGACTAGAAGACTAGTCTGATCCTTTGTTGAACATCAAAAGGATCCATTGGTCACCTAACGGTAAAATTGACTGGCTTTGTAGTCAAGTGTTGCTCCTCTGTAATCTTCAAAGGACAGGTATCAGCCTAGCGATTGGTAAGGTTTTTCTACCTAAGACCAATCAAATAGCTAGCTGTGTGCCTTCAATTTTGCCATGACAAACTCCAGGGGTGCAGAGAGCGAAAGTAAGCGTAACCCCTGGAGAATCGAGGATGAACTTCATAAAACTGTTCTAGCACTCAAACTCAGGTACATGTACATGTCTGTTGGTTGGAACAACTGTAAGTACATGACATTTAGTGTGGTCATAGATCAAAACAGTGGTACATATATATCCAAGATGGCGGACATTCAGGAACAAGATGGATACTCACTATTAAGCCCCCTCCCTACTTTGGTCAATCTTTTTTCCCTAGCGGTGGGGGCTTATTTGTGAATCAATATGGGAATGTACTCAAACAAACTTTATTTAGATCTTACAAAAAAATCATGCATTTAAACAATAAACAATAATCATGCAAATGTTGACAGCTATAAGTTTTAGCATAACAATTTTTTATAAATATCAATCTCACTAGGATTTTAGCTCAATCGGCAAAACCTGTGTTTGAGAATGAGAATGGTTATGTAACGTCTAAATATGTAACACATCTAGAGTACTATGAAGAACAGGGATGTACGCTACAGATACTGTTACCATATTTGCCATAGTTAGTACCCAGGGTGCGTAAAACTTGGCTGAAGAAGACACTTGCTAAGAAAACAAAAGAAACGCACGGGTCATTAAAGATGTTCGAGGATGATAGGTGTGACTCGCAAGATGCGGGTCATAGAAACGTTTTGCCCCTAGCTAGCCACCTTCCTGATATATAGGAAGCACAGAAAATAAATGTGTGTACATGTATATCCCCATTTAGTGAGCTACAGAGGCTGACGTTGGTACCTGGTAATCAATGATGGTCCTGAGTTGTTGAGACACCACGGCCGCCAGTCTACCGCCGGCACTGTGACCTCCGACCCCTATAGTACTATCATTGACTGCGCCTAGCAAAAAGAAAGCATGCAGGTGAGAAAACAACCTACCTGGTAGTCTATATCACCGTGAAGTTGGTGAGTGACAGCAGCAGCGAGCTGTCCCCCGGCACTGTCTCCGCCCACACCAATGGTACTATTGTTGACCGCACCTGACATAGGTAAAACATGTTCTATGTGGTCTTAAAACTGTAGAAAAGACATACAGTAAAACCTGGATATACTGCCAGGGAAAATCTGGTGTTATAAAGGGGTATTGCATGGCATAAATTGAGGGAAATGCATAAAGGAATGCTGAAGTAAACAAGAAATAGGGACATTGAAATATGTTGGCTGTAAATTAAATGTGGTGTCAAATGAAATAAGGGGCATTATATTGAGGTTTTACTGTATATTGTAAACAGTATGTTTGAGGTTTACCCTGTGTGATGGAAACCACGAGGATGCAATATAACAGCAAACGCTTCTAAAATGTAAAGGAACCAAATCATTTCTAGTTAAATTACACCATATACACAGACAGTTAGGAAACTAGCAGTAAAAATTACAAAGGTTTTAAAAGCAAAATGAAATTTTTTGGAACATTCTTTATCAAATTGATATATAATGATGCTGAGATCTAGACCCAGTCTTAAATATATAGACAGAAAAAGCCTGCAATCAAATATATACTGTAACCATACTTAATTTAGCACATTCAAATTTTAGCACATTTTTATATTTTGACAAGATATATGCATATTGATAAATTGGCTTATAAGCATTAGGAAACACGATACAGAAATACAAATTAGCTCAATCATAGTTTAGCACAATATCAAGCGGGATCCTCGACCACTGCTAAAATTGTAACTACCGGTAGGTATTGAAAATTGATTTTTTCCAGCAATACTATACATGTAGCTTTGATAATATGATAAAATAAACAAAACATAATATAATCAACAACAGTGTTCCGAGTGTGGGAATTCAGCAGGGCTAATCCTGGACTGGGAAGGGTTACCTATAATTGACCAGGTATAGGTCAGTAGATTATAGCGACAGTTTAATAAAAGGGGGAGATTAACACCATCTGGGTTAGAATCCTGGTCTTAGCCATTTTTTTTGCATTTTAACACTTAGATCACTGTAGTTGATTTTTGTCATCTATTTAATTTTTAAGTATTTTTCATAAAACTTCCACATGGTATAATTTTATCAAAGCCAAAGTCATGTGAGAGAATAGTTACCACCGTGTAGTTACAGTGGATGTATAGTTAGACAGTGATGCATGGACACCCTTAAGCAATATGGAACACCTCAAGCAGAAAGCAGTTTACCAAAAGAAAAACTTATTCATTGCCCGAACAACTTTTACCTATTAAGGATTTGTTGAAGTTCACCCAGCGTACCACACACTTGGCATCATCGTTGCTCGCAGGGAAGCGGTGTTCTGGTCCTAGACGGTATTCCACATTGACAACAACACATGGAGCATCTCTGTCAATAACAAAAAACTTTGTATGAGTGTATATTGTATGATACAAAGGATGTAGACTAATACAATGTTTATTGTATGATACAAAGGACATTACAAGGTATACTGTATGATAGAAAGGTCATACATTAATACAATCTATACTCAAGGATACAAAGGACGTAGATTATACAATGTATACTGAATGATACAAGGACATATATTAATACAATGTATACTGAATGATACAAAGCACATACATTAATACAATGTATACTGAATGATACAAAGCACATACATTAATACAATGTATACTGTATGATACAAAGTATGTACATTAATACAATGTATACTGAAGAATACAAAGGACATACATTTATACAATGTATACTGAAGGATACAAAGGACGTAGATTAATACAATGTATACTGAATGATACAAAGGACGTAGATTATACAATGTATACTGAATGATACAAAGCACATACATTAATACAACGTATACTGTTTGATACAAAGTACGTACATTAATACAATGTATACTGTATGATACAAAGCACATACATTAATACAATGTATACTGAATGATGCAAAGTACGTACATTAATACAATGTATACTGTATGATACAAAGCACATACATTAATACAATGTATACTGAAGGATACAAAGGACGTAGATTATATAATGTATACTGAAGGATACAAAGGAGGTAGATTATACAATGTATACTGAAGGATACAAAGGACGTAGATTATACAATGTATACTGAAGGATACAAAGGACAAAGATTATACAATGTATACTGAAGGATACAAAGGAGGTAGATTATACAATGTATACTGAAGGATACAAAGGACGTAGATTATACAATGCATACTGAAGGATACAAAGGACAAAGATTATACAATGTATACTGAAGGATACAAAGGAGGCAGATTATACAATGTATACTGTATGATACAAAGGAGGTAGATTATACAATGTATACTGAAGGATACAAAGGACGTAGATTATATAATGTATACTGAAGGATACAAAGGAGGTAGATTGTACAATGTATACTGTATGATACAAAGGACATACATTAATACAATGTATACTGAAGGATACAAAGGAGGTAGATTGTACAATGTATACTGTATGATACAAAGGACATACATTAATACAATGTATATCCCAGTTGTAATTCCTTTCCTGTTACACATTGTATACTGAACATGTATGCTGCATCCGACATACAAAATAGTAGCATGGTGCAGAACTAGAATGGGGCGATTGTCGGAACCCTTGTAGCTCAACTGGTAGAGCCTCAGTCTAGAGTTCGGAAGGTCCTGGGTTGAATCCCAATCTGTCCGTGCATTTTCCTGTTCCTGTTACTTAAAAAGACCTGTCTTAGGGGCAAAAAAGGAGAGAGGAATGTAGCAAAACTGGACTGGGTCGACCGCCTGTGATCAGGTATAGTAACTCAACCGGTATAGAGCATCGGTCAAGAGTATGGATGTCCAAAGTTTATTATTAATCTCTGTTTTGAACATTTAATTCAAGGAGGGGAAAGGGGGGGGGGGTGTACTGTGTGAAATATATGGCTATATTTGCAGCCTAAGTTATAGACAAAATCCTAAATACGCCCTAATGAATTCAAAATTCATGTTAAAACCCTATATATCTCTTAATTCACATCGTAGTCCATCGTCACGTGTATCGTTCTAGCTCTGCATCACTCATGAAAGATTATTAGAGGCATCAGACTTAAGCCTATAACACTACAGCTTCATCCCAATACACAGACAGGCTGACACAGATTGCTGATTCATCAATATCAAATGCTGGGGGGAAAAATCCAATATTCATTCGTGTGAAAAGTCACCAGGGAAATGTGTATCGTGGCATATATAACAAGGGATATGTGTGAATGTATCTTCGCTGTGTTTTGTTATTGCCAGAATTATACTGTACATATATATCTCATAGATTTTTGTCATGCAGGATCATTACAGTTTAACCTGATTCCACTGGGCCAACGCCTGCTGGATCTAGCAGATTTTATGTCGAAACTATAGCGAAACACTTTACAGGATTTTCTATGGAATTTAAGGTGGACATTAGTAGGATATGTACGAGCTATTTATTGCAACCTATATCATATTTAGGTTGATTTTAATGTAATGCACAATTTTTCAGCATTTTGTTACCAGAAACTTAATACACAGCAGATCTTCATAGGTTTTCTTCACTAAATTAAGAATTTGGAGTTTCCTAATCGTGACGATAATTTTATTGTTGTATTGTGTATATATACCTACATTTATATAAGGCCAAACGAAAAATATTTTGTGTTTCCAGTAACCCTACCTACCCTAATTTTTTGTGCCTACGCTTAACTTTTTAAGGCAATTTTCAAAGAAGCACTGTTACCATAACTCTACTATATAAACCAATGAATTTTATTTGTTAAAATAAAATTTGTTGCCTACCTTACCTACCCTAAATTTGTCAACATGTTACAGGAAACACATATTTTTTCTGCTGTATATATATACATATATAGGTGTTATGTTGCTTTAGGTATATATATACATATATAGGTGTTATGTTGCTTTAGGTATATATATACATATATAGGCGTAATGTTGCTTTAGGTATATACATACATATATAGGTGTTATGTTGCTTTAGGTATATATATACATATATAGGTGTAATGTTGCTTTAGGTATATATATACACAAATTTTAGCTCCTTTAGTCCTACAAAGTTCCAGCTGAAATGCGTACATAAAACTCGCCCAATTAAACACGAGGGTGTGAAACTTCCCGTCTACCAAGTACACCTGTAATTCAGGTATTAACGTCACAAATACATTTCAATTTATGTGTGAACTGTTTGTCTGTGAAGTTCTCATCCAGTATTTCTTAACTGGTTGCATAATTATATTTTAGGCCGATAACTTGTTGTCCTATATATAAGGTCAATAAGTGGGTCACATATTTCGTAGTCACGAACATGACCTCCGTTTGGTAAATTGAACAGATTATATTTCACCCAGTACAATTACAACAGGTAGTTCATATTTTAAACCTTCAGATCAACATACGCTATTTGTTTGTTTATTAATTTGATTTTTATGGTTCAAAACACAGAAACATATAATAAGGAAGACAGTTCAATAAAATTTGCCTCTTAGATAAATAGCTAGCAGCAACATCCGCCTTAACAAAACCATCACCTCCTCAAAAACGGAAGCCTGGATATTGCTGTGGTTAGCATATGCAGTCAAGCTGGTACTCTTAATTTGACAAAATCATAGTGATGAATTTTCTGTTACCTGGATTAAACCATAAGTTGGAATATCTTTCTTCAACTATTTCTCACAACTGTTACTTAAGCTTACTGAAGAGCTTTCAACCTGACTATGCTGAGACTTGATCCCTTCTGACGTGATAACACTTCAGAACTTGAATACGACGCACTATTGGTCACATGACTCTGAGGTCATGTGAACATGTGACCGAGGCAACACCTGTTTCAATAAAATGGTCCAAATGATCTTTCATGCCAAATCTGGTTGAATTTTAATCAGTTGCTAGAGAGAAGTAGTTTTTTTTAAGGTTATTAGTGGATGATTTATGCTGCAGTACTAAATCAGACCTGCTAAATATGTAGTTTTCAAACTGACGATCACTGTGTGCACCTATATGGGAATTATCATAGAGAGGTGTTCCATAGGGAAAATATATATCATATACATATGCACAGGGGGAGGAATCACTTTTCAGTTTGAGTAATGATCACACGTGTAAAAGTTGAGAAATATTTTTAAATCAAACTATAATCGTTTTGATTACGATTCTGTAGGCTATAATTGCTTACCAAACTTCGTCTGCATGTTTTGGTTCTTTACCGGAAGTTTGTGTGTATTCAGAACCATTTTTTTTACTTCAGAGCAGAAAGTGTTCTGGGTATTTCTGGCGCGAATATTGCACCTGCGAATTGCCATGTTTTGGGGTATATAAGTCCGGGAGCTAGTAATTAGTTCGCCAGTCAGGTTTCCAAGTCTCATGACTTTCTGACTCATTCTTTTACGTAGTGCTACCCAACTATATAGGTACAATATCGAGGGAGTAGGCGTCTAGATTTAAATTCTGCCTTTATGTAGTGGTCGTATTACATAGATTTAAATAGGCGCAACGCTGTCCATCTATAGATAGTAGTAGGGTTAGGTGTTTAGCCACGTAGGCTGTGATAATTTTATTTTTGTTATCGTCAATGAGATGTACTGCCTTTATAGGATATTGCTTTACTCTTATCAATAAATAAACTTTATTTACCATACTTCAAATTTTATATTCATAAATTAAGACCCTGACCGAGCCAAGATTACCGAACCTGGTTTGGTTTCTCCAGTTTGAAACCACTTCTTTCACACATGCAAGGTGACGTATCTGAAGGACTTTTTACATTGATGCAATCAAAGGGCTGACTTTTGACTGGTTGGTCGGGATGTAGTACACCAGTAGAAATGTCTGTATGTGTGACTTCCTGTTTGTAAGGGGAAATCTTAATGCAGACTTGAATCACTATTACAATGCATATCATTTGTATGGCCCTTAAGGATATAGTCTTTAAGATTCAGTCAGCATTTTAATTCAAGTAGCCCAGTATACAGATGTTAGGTTATATTGTACAGAATAATGTATGTACGATACAGACAGTGTGCCTATACAGCTATATGATACAATAACTTTAACCCCTGTAAGGTTCGGGGTAAGAATATAAGTATCTCAATGCAAGCTACGATATGAGGCAACTAAAGTACAGCCCCCTGCAGAATTGGACGTTTATACTTTTGTGTTTATCTACAAGTTGTAGATATTCATGAGTGAAGTTCTGCATACCCCGTTTGATGGATTCTTAAATGAAATTCACTAGTACAGCCATAAGATTAATAGAAATTCAAAGAGGTGAACAGACAACATCAAATAGGGAGTCTCTGCAAATTTAGTCCAGTTTACCTGTTTCGGCCCACGAGGTCATCAGAACAATGTACGTTTTTCAAAAGATACCTAAGGTACAAAAAGCGGTGCCCTGCCTAGCAACAAACAACAGCAATCTATATATAGTGACGTCTACAACAGTAAAATAGAACGATGACGTCATAGTATTCTTGTAATGTCTGTGAAAAGATGGTATAAGATTTCGCGGCATTTTCATAATCAAAGCCCAGAGTATAAAGGGCAGAGGTCTAGGTCGTTTTCGTTTAAACAGTTGAGCCGGTCGGACTACAGATGTTCGTTTATTAAATAAGGTCGGACCTAGCAGTCTGATGCTGCTTTCAGGTGAGCCTTAATTGACAAAGCCTTGCAAGGCCTGCATAAACATTTGCAGGTTCGCCAGGATTTATACCCAAAATTGTTACATTTGAAAACGGACAAACCGGTTATTCCGCATAAACAAACAGGCCCCTAGAGTTTCGAACATAAAATATGATATCTAAAAAGGAAGCAATGTTGATCATAATGAACAACCTTTTTGATGTACCGAAGTTAATTATCTATTGAATATAAAACCATTTCGGTGGATTAAAGTGATATATCCGGTAATAATGATAGTGTAGGTAAATTCACATATGTCTGCATCCTGCAATTGACGATGCAACAGAAATCATCAAGGTGTAAGTTCAGTCTCTATCAAATTCACTTCTGGATCCAAATGGAATATATAGGCTATAACGTTCCAAAACAGTAGGTATGGGCAGTTTGGTCGAGTGGTTAACACTCCGGCCTTCCACGCAGGCGGCGGGTTCCATCCCCAAAGTCATCGTACACATGGATATCCGAAGAAAGTGTTTTTCTTCTGCCAACACAACTCCAACAACCCAGGTGGAGTATATATATAAATTCGTCTGGGGTGGATGTTATGGTATCTGTGCTGTAGCATTCAAGTGAGGTGGCACTATAAATGATGCCGTTGGAAACATGTTCCCACTACAAACAGAACACATTACATCTCCAGCACACACACAGGCATATATACATATAGGGAGATATTAGCCAGGTGGCATAGGACTAGTAGTTAGCGCATGATAAGGCAGCTCAAATTTGTATTGATTATAATGTATATGCTAATTGTACTGATTGTATTAATTGTATATCTATGAACTATAAAGTGCCTTAGAGTGGCTTATGCTAGCTAGATATATAGAGCTCTATATTAAATGTTGTATATTAGTTATTAGTATGATTTACTCTAAATGATCCTTTCTTGCTAGAGAAAACCAAAATAATTGTTGAAAGTTACTGATGCATGCGTATTAAGTACAAGATATTTTGCCAAACTCTAGGTCATAAGATCGAGACATAAGATTAACCAGGCATGTCCGCTGATCTCCGATTCTAATTCACTCCTCAAAAGAATGACCACGTACATGTAGGTGACAGATGTATTACATCAATGAGAAAAGGTTTTCCATATGTTTAATATCAACGAAGGTGTATTGTGTTCTATTTCTTCCTCAGATCCATATGCAGAAGTCTATAACCTCCATGTGCAAAACCCTGTCTATGATGTTCGGCACACATGAGTATATAAGTTCCTGTAGTGTGTTGTACAATAGGTAGAAATGATGGGATGTCGGCCACGAGTGGATCATACCTACTGTTTCGAAACATTACAGCCTATGCCATTCAGATCCAAAACTGATTTTGATAAAGACTTAATTGCCTTACTCATGACTTCATGATTTCTAGCGCATCGTCACTTGACATCATTGCTCTATTTTGCTGTTGTAGATGTCACTACGTATAGTTTGTCATTGCATTTGTGTATCGCTAGGCAGACTACCACTTTTTGTACTTTAGGTATCTTTTGAAAAATGTACATTGATCTGATGACGGCATTCCTTGTCGGCCAAAACATGTAAATTGGAATAAATTTGCCGAGACTCCCCATTTAATGTTGTCTGGTCAACTCATCTTTGAATTTTGTGTTTTCTGTTTACAGGACATGGAAGAGAAGAAATCATAACTCACTCACTCACTTTCAGATCTTCTGCTCATTACAACCATTGGGACCTCTATCATTTTTTATACCTTTCTCTTCTTTTTTGGTGGTGCCTACCTATGTATACCAAGGCACTCATCCTCACATCGCCTTGGACAATATGAGGACAATGAACCCCAAACAAAACAAAACAATAAAATATATTTCTTTGAATACCAACCTGCCTATACATTTCTCATGCTGAAGTCAGTTGTTCTGTTATTGTTCAATTTTTTTTCTCTTATTTCCCTGCGTGTAAGATAGAGCTTTCCAGGGTGAGAAAGGGCCGGGTGTAGGAAATTTCTATCTTAATACACCCCATTTCACGTGACGTGGTGTCACATTGGCACAACAATGATGTGACGTCACAAATTTGGAACTCTCTGATACCGCAATGCGGAAAAGGCGACGTGATGAAATTAAAACCTTTTACGATGTATTTACCATACACGTTAGAAAGATAAGATTACTTTTTATGCGCAAACAGTGTTTGCAAATATGGGATATGCTAAATCTGGCTGGCTAACATGGTTTCTGAGCTTATTCTGGTGGTTGGAATGAGAGAAAAATACTCTTTCATGCACAAGGGTGAAGGATAGTGAAATTTCCCTATCCTACACCCCTGTGCATGAAAGAATCTTATAATCAGGATGAATAGACCACAGGATGAGGAAGTGCCACAAAAACTTTCCCGCGCTGATCTTTCAGGTTTGATGGTAGTTAGTGTACATGCTGATGTAAGCTCATTTACCTTGAGAAAATTTTGCAGATGACATCGCATGTTTGTCTGGAGCCAACCACGTTACCGCCTCCATGGAAAAACACGAATATGGATGGAGCTCCAACAAGACTGCACTGCTTGGACCTGTAGACAGTCACCGGAATACCAGCTGAAACACACAAGATTTACAGGAACTTTTAATGTAGCAATATAAATGATAAATCTATTCCCCTTGTGGTAGGGAAACACGATTCTTTGTTTCTCCCAAGATTTATCATATTTCGCATGGGCAAACATGATTAATCACAGAGAAGGTTTCCTATACAAGGTCAAAAAATATTATTTTAGGCCGATATAAAACAATAATCCAACAGTAAAGGTTGAGCGTCATTGTTGTCGTCTGTTTCAGTCATTCAGAACTCGGTAGTGTTGGCTCCTGCCCATTTTTTCTATAAAGATTCCAAATAAGAGAAATATTATTGGGGAGAATCTATTGTGTGACAGCGACATGATGTTTTATTGTTCAGTGATGTGATCAATTTCATCCAAATAAGGGAAATGTGATTGAGGAGACTCCAGTGCATAAGGGGAAACATGACGTTTAATTATTGCTCCGTCATGTGATCAATATCATCCAATCAGACACGCTGTTATAAAAGTGAGGTATAAAGAGAAATATCTATTCTCTGGCTGTCTACAGATTATTGACCGGTTGTCCGTCATGATATCTTCATGCAATTCTAGATCTCATGGTCTTGCTTTCAGGGTTATGTTTGCACTTCTATTGCAATGACAAACACTAGTTGCTTTTTAGAAATATAGGGAGGAGGTTCTGGGTTCTCGTGCCAAGATTCTTTACGCCTCGGTTTGGATTATGTTACAGAATCTTAGCCCTCGACTGAGATTATATTATTACCTGATCTTGCTCAGTTACAGGTAATTGAATTTTTTTTCTCGCACCTTTTAGTTTGAAAAAAAAACTATTTAATATTGCTAAAGACTGCAAGTATCCCATTTGGGGACTCAAAGAAGGTTGGCCTCTACATTACTAAAGCTACATTTGAATGCTTCCGCGTAAAAATATAGTCCCTCCTTAAAAAGAAGACAACGTATCTAACAACATCAAAACAGTATACATGTAACAACAAAACAGAATATTTCTAATGCAGATTGTCAATTTCTAGCGGTTAACCCGCTGATAAAAACATTACAGTGTCACATTAAGGTACCAGACAGATCTGGCGAGATATAAAAATCTAGCACAGGGTATGACGTGGGATATCTCTCTCTGAGATGCGAGAAATAATTATGTGTTACCAAAAGCAGCATGCTGATGCACTTACCTCATTTATACCAACTGAATAGTAGAAAGTTTTCAAAGGAAAGCTGGCATGGGGTTTCTGAGATGTCGTCCCAGAAAATTTGTAAAATTGATGTGCTTAAAGAGTTAATCAAATTCAGTGATTTTTTTCTGTTTCATTATATCAATTGGATATATCAATTTGACGGTACTTGAGAATGTATTAAATATTGTGTTCATTTAAGTTCCAATGACTAGCTCCCGGTTTAAGATATTGGAGAACCCTTATCGAGAGCAAAATAACCTGGGTTGTGGCTGTCTTTGAGGACAAAGACTTGGAAAGGTGTACATATATGTATATGTGGAGGTTAGTACAAAGGATATACATAATGTATACATATATATGTGGAGGTTAGTACAAAGGATATACATAATGTATACATATATATGCATTGTACATATATTTAGTACAAAATATCTTTTCTTATTCACAATACATGAGCTTTCCATTATTTTTCAAAATGAACATACAGAAAAAGACTTCGATTCACTTTCATTTACTAATTAATATAACGATAGATTTATATATTTTATTTAGACATAATACTGTTATAACTATAAATGAACTTAAATGGTGATTATGTCTAAGACAATGGTTTATAAACTTTAAAACACCAATATGTGTATTTATACATGTACATGTACTTGTACCATGGATCCTAGTCAGTGCAAATGCTAGTGATTTAATAGGTCTGTAGCATGTGTCTTCGGGGTCGAAGATAGCTCTATTGATTGAGCGTCCGTCTAGAGATCGGAAGGTCCCAGGTTCGAACCCCTGTCTGACCGTGCAATTTTCCTCTCCGAACTGTTACAGGTCATCACTCTTTTATAGATTAATGAATGCTTTTTTCATTTAAGGATACTGCTTAAATCATTTTAAGTATGTGCATAGGTAATATCTAATACTGTATGGCGGTTGTATTTTGTTGGGTTTTTAATTTCGCTATATTCGCGCTTTGACTATATATATATATAAATATCTTTGATTTCTAAACACCAGCAAAATTAGCTAAAATGTTAACCACTTTTACGGACCTTATCACAACATTTTGAAAATTCTTATAACCCAACGCTGTTATGCAAGTTTAAATGAACTCAAATCAGATTATCACCAGACAACTGGGCAGTCCATGTAAGAATAACACTTAAATGTAAGTGGGCACAATGTAGGTGATTAATTGATTACTGTTTACTCCTACAAAGGTACATACACATTTGGTTTTCTTTCGAGTGAAGTCACTGGCACTATACAGTATTTTATTGATTTATTGATTTATTGAGCAAACTGGATGGGAGAAAATCATGATAGTATGTATAAATTGATGAAAAGATCAGATATAATATGAAAAAGAAAATTACCTTGTGCACTGTAGTTACCTTCAGTGCACATCGATGTGAACTTGATCAGTGCACACAGAAATATGAGAACTCCAGTGCACAAGCTAGTTAACTTTTCTTGTTAACTCCAGTGCACTATATAGGCTACCAAGTTTGCTCCCAACTGTACGTAGGGTCACAAAGTTGCCTTACTAGCTCCATGCGGCCAAAGAGAATTTCCCTTTAGCTCAGCAGTAGAGTATCCAACACGGAAGCCCTGGGATATTGAGGTCAAGCCCCAGTGAACACATACTATTTTACAACTTCCTTCCCATTATATATATAAATATAGATTTGTACATGTATAACAATAAGTGATGGTGCCAAATTAATGTGTTAGAGGGGG